CAACTAGAAAAGTCCTAATAGTAGTCATCCTGGCCACTGGAGAGAAAGTCTCAATGTAATCCACTCCCAATTGTTGAGTATATCCTTTAGCAACTAATCTTGCTTTATACCTTTCAATTGACCCATCTGCTTTATGCTTAACCTTATACACCTATCTACATCCAATTGGGGACTTCCCTGGAGGTAATTCTGTCAACAACCATGTCTTATTCTCAACCAATGCATCTATTTCTGACTGCATTGCTTTCCTCCAAGTTTCATATTTCACTGCTTCATTATATGACTGAGGTTCAAGAGTAGAGAAAACAGAAGCTGCACATATCTTGTGATTCATGCTTAAAGCTTCATATGAGATAAAATTGTCTATGGGATAAGGAGAAGTTCTAGTGTGTGCCTCATTCCTTGACATAGAATGGCAGTAATAATCATGTAGCTTGGTAGGAATATTCCTTACTCTTGCTGACCTTCTGTATTGATGTTGACTATCTCCCACATTAGATGTGTTTTGTTCTAAGGCTGTGTCATTGGTGGTTACATCAGTGGTGTTGTTTTCTTCAGTAACAATCCCTTCAGAGATAACATTGCTGTCTTCATCATTGTTGGTTACACCAGACTCTTCTATGATTTCAGGAGTGGTAATCCTTGAAGAAATCAGTGAAGGATCAACCTCCTCAGTCTCAGACTGCCCTATGTTTGTCTCTGGATCTTCTCTTCCTTCTTTCTCCTCTTGGAAAGGGTATATCTGTTCATAGAACTGCACATCTCTAGACACAAACACATTTTGGTTAGCAATATCATATAGCAAGTACCCCTTAACATTGGCAGGAATGCCCAACAAAACACATTTTTTGGCCCTTGGTTCCATTTTATTTCTTCCCTGAGAAACTGTGGCTCCATAGCACAAACAACCAAAAACTTTTAGATGATCATACCTCACACCTCTTCCAAACAGTATCTCAAAAGGAGTTTTTCCATCAATTATGGGAGTTGGCAGTCTATTGATGAGATAGCATGCATGAAGGACACAATGCCCCCAAAATCTTATGGGAATACCAGACTGAAATTTGATGGCTCTAGCCACATTCAAAATATGTTGATGCTTCCTCTCAACAACACCATTTTGTTGAGGTGTGTAAGCACAGGATTTTTGATGAACAATTCCTTTTTCATTACAAAAAGTGTCCATGAAGAACTCTCTTCCATTGTCAGTCCTCACAGATTTAATATTTGCAGAGAATTGTGTATGAACATAATGGTAAAAATTTTGAAACAACATTCCAACCTCTAATTTATTTCTCATTAAATGCAGCCAAGTAAATCTACTACAATCATCAACAATTGTCAAGAAGTAGTGTTCCCCCTTCAAAGAGGCAATAGCAAAAGGACCCCATACATCCATGTGAACTAAATCAAAGCACTTATCAGCTCTAGAACTACTTATAGGAAAAACTGACCTCTTATGCTTAGCAAAGTGACAAACATCACAGGCAAAATCACATGGTTTAGGAATCTGTCCATGCCTTATTCCATCTATAAGATGTAGTTTATTTATAGGATAGTGACCTAACCTATTATGCCATAGCTGTAAAGACAGTCCATTACACTGAGCTTCAGCACTCTCAACTGCACAGTGAACTTTTCTTCTGATTGGAGGATCAACCAACAAATACAATCCATCCATCTCCCTAGCAAAACCACACACTGTTGTCCCATGGAGATCCTGAATGTTACATGAATTAGCATCCATAATGAGCTTACATGATATCTGCTTGGTTAGTTTACTGGCAGAGATTATATTGAAGGTGAATGAAGGGATGTATAGGACATTTTTCAGTAGTATATTCTGATGCAGTCTGACTTCACCTATGTGACTAACATTTACAGTATCTCCATTAGGCAATTTTACCAACACTCCATGCACTGTCACACATTTCTCAAAGAACTCTAGGGAACAAACAATATGATCTGTTGCCCCTGAGTCAACAATCCAAATGCTAGGTATGATAGCAGAGTTAACAAATAGGTTAGAAGAAAGACTACCTTCATTGTGATCATCAGGAATGTTTTTGAAAGTGGGCTTCATTCCTGAATTGTTCACCCTCATAGCAGCACTGGTTGAAGCAACACTGGTTGAAACTTGGTTCCCTTGACCCTGACTGCCTTGGCTTTGCATGAAGGTCATCAGTCTTTGAAACTGATCAGCTGATAACCCTATATCAGCAGCTTGACTCATAGATGAGTTTGCATACTGATGTGCACTTTGATTTTGTCTAATTTTGGCTTTGTAACCTGGTATCCATCCAGGGGGATATCCATGTTTTTTGTAACACTTTTCAACGGTGTGTCCATTCATACCACAATAGGTACACTTAGGCACATTTTTCCCTCCATTATTACTGAATTTCTTCTTACTATTGGAATCTGAGACTGCCACAAGACTCTGCTCATCTAGAAATTGACTTGGACTGTTCTGGACAGCATTGGATTGAACCAAATCATTGTTCCTTTGAACAATAGCCCCATTAAGTTTCCTTTCAAGCTTTAGGGCCATATTAAGGACCTTTTCCATATCTGGAATGGGGTCCATGACAAGCACACCTGACTTTATAGTTTCATAGTCATCACTGAGACCATCTAGAAACCTAATGACCTGGTCATCACTTCTCTCTTTCTTCATTTTGCTCAAAAGATTACAGGTACATCTAGGAGGACATTCACAAACCAATAGAGGTCTCATAGCATTCAGTTTTTCCCATAACGAACTGCACTTTGTAAAATACTCATTAACAGTTAAGTTACCTTGTGTGTTTCTGTAGATCTGGTTTTGCAATTCTGCAATCCTATGAGGATCTGCCTGTGAGTATCTCCTCTTAAGAGCCTTCCAGATATCCGCAGCTATCTCATAATACATCACTGTTTCCGCGATGCCTGAGCTGAGCGATTTCAAAATCCACGAACACACAATGGTGTTGCATCTTCTCCACACTGCGTATCTCGGATCAATTTCACCTGGATTTGGAATTGATCCACTAGCAAAGCCAAATTTATTCTTGACCTCCAGAGCTATTTTCATAGACCTACTCCACGAAGCATAATTGTGTTCAGATAAAGGAGGTGAAACGAGAATCAGATTCGGATTCTCGGTGATGTGTAGGTATAGCGGATCGTCGAATTCATCATTCCGCTGAATTGACCCCTGACTGACCGGAATTGGAATTTGGTTGACCGGATTCGATGTCTGTCCGGCTGAAGCTTCTCCGCCGGCTGCTACATTATTTCCGGTGACTGCTGCGGCGTAGCTATGGCGTTGCTCTGATACCATGATTGGAACTGTGCATTCTAGATCCTGCTAAGCTGAAGTAAAGGATGAACTAAGGAGACTTCATTGATGGTGAAGAACAGAAAAGAGAGTCAATCAGATAAGGAAGAGCACTTCCTTATATATGCTGTTACAATGAAACAGTAAAGGGAAAGAAAATAAACAGAAAGATAACAGATATGTGATGAAAAGACAATAGTGCCCCTTATTAATCTAGCTGAGCTAATGCATTACTTTGTCAAACATCATGAGAGTCCTAAAACTATATTTTTAATAGGAATGTATTTATTGGACACGATTGAATAGTTTTATGTCGAAGAAACTCAAATCTATGGCAAGGATGCCGACCTCGGGGTCGGCCTAGGAGCGTTGGGTTACGGTTCAAGTCAACATATGAGGTCGGAGAAGCGTGGTCAATTAATATCCATTACAACTGTTATGACTGTTACAAGTTCTCACTCTATTTGGTAAACATATGAGTCATTATGTACAGTATTAAAGTATGTAGCCATTAAAACTTCTTTTTAATTATATAAATAGGCATCCTTATTACTTATTAGAATGATATTTAATTTTGTATTGTTCACATGCGTATTATGTACTGATGACTAAATATGAATTGAACCTAATTACTTAAAAAATGAGTCGAACCTAATTACTTTAAAAATATTATAAATAACATCTTTTATACAAAAAAAAAAAAAAAATGAGAATGATCCATCAAACTATATAAAGTTTAATTTTGTTGTATAGAGTGTTCTTCCATTGCTTCATCCAGTGTTGCAAAAGTTTACTTGCTCAAGGACCATAGAAAGAGAAATTGGAAAAGAGGAGAAAAAAGAAAAAAACAAAAACAAAAAAAAAATTGAAAAGTAAAATAAATAATAAATATGAATGTTTGATTATATTTAATGAGGTGATGTAAATAACACTTTTTTTTATTTACACCACCTATAAAGCTATTACATCTATTAAATAGATGGTGTAAATAGCAAATAAAGTGATGCAAATAGAATTTTCCAAATATATTTGAGGACATGTTAATGATTAGCTGCCTCTTATTTCCCAAACGCAGAGCAGATCATCATTAAACTTCTAATCCCTTCCATGTGTTAAAGAGACAAAGCTTTAATTTGGCAGTGCTGACTGCTGAGTGGATAGGAAATCCCGTGATTGACTCTTTTGTCTCGTGCTCGATAGAGACTAGAGACCACCTTAAACGACGCCGTTCCCTTTCTCCAGTTGCCTAAACCTCCCAAAACACCTGAGAATTATCATAATCCAATCGTTGTTCGAGTTGAGACCAAAATGAAAGCTGCCCTTGCCAAAAGATTTCACCTTGTGTTGACTACTTGAATCTTTGGTAGCCTGGTAGGTACATTGATCCAATCACTTTCTTCCCTCTTCTCAATTCTCTCTCTCTCTCTCACTACAATTCCAAGCAAAACTGTTCTGTTTTTGTTACTTTTCCTGTTAATTATGATTGGGGTGTTACTGATTTGATCGGTGCATGAGCTCTGACACGTGTTAAGCGGTGATCTGTGGATCTGCATTCTTATTTTGAGCATAGTTGCCAATTTTTGTGGGCTAATTTAGTATCCTATTTGCGTTAACTCTAGATAAGGTAAATAGTGTGGTGGAGATTTGTTAAATATGATCTGGGGTTTTTTAGTATCAGGTTTATGATGAATTCTTGAGATGGGGGTTTACTGCCCAAGAAGAGTTGCTTGTGGAATGTGGATTGTGAGGTCGGGCAATGGCTAAAGTTCTAAATTTAATGTGAAGTTAGAAACTTTACCTTGAAATAGCTGGTTTCAGATAGGCGTTTCTTAGAGAATTGAGAAATGTAGTGGAAAATATTTGTGATTTTTTTTTTTTTCTGTATATATTATGGAGATCTTAGGTTTATGGGGATCACTGCTTCACTGGGTCCAACTGTTTCTCAATTGAAGCTTTGAGTTAAGGTTTAGTTTAAATGCACCCTATGAGTTGAGGAACTTTGCTAGCCCTCTTTTTCCTGTTCTCCTTTTACTTTTCTTTTCAGCTGACAGTTAAAGTATTGCAAAGTGTAGATTGTTAAAACAGTTTGTTTGTTGCTTTTAGCTGTTTCTGTGTCCTTTCTTCTGGCTGATGGTGTATCAGCTTGCCGAAGTACTAATTCTTGACGTTTTTGTTTTCCTTGCAGGCCTGAATTTGGTAGAGCCGAAGCATCAGCTTTTGTCATGGGAGTCTCGGGGAAATGGATTAGGTCACTGATTGGTTTAAAAAGGCCTGAAAAGTCAAATTCTTCTGAAAATGATGAAAATGTGAGTAGCACTTTCTCGATGATGCTTTAGTGTTCAACAAACCGAAATTATTAAATATTGTACGAGGATTTGTACTGTATCTAAATTGCATTATTAATACAGAGAACAGGGGGCACTAGAAAGTCTAGGCATAGGAGAAGGCATTCTGTTCAGATAGATAGTGAATTACTTTGCAGCGAGTTGAGTCATAATGATAATGCTTCTACATCACTTGAAGATGCCACCACCGCTTCAGTTCCAATTGCTGCGTCCTCGCCTTCAAGCTCACATCAAAACCACGATGCACCTCAAATTCATCGCAATATTGGAGAAGAATGGGCAGCCATTCGCATCCAAACAGCTTTTAGAGGATTCCTGGTACGCAATTTTGCTATCAGCTAGTATATTTTTCTGTCTATTTTTGGTTTAAAATATCTCTAGCTTTACTGGCCCTGTTTGGTAGATGTCTGTTAGCTGTTAGCTGATTGGGTTAATTAGAGGGTATAACTAGTTGATAACGTTAGCTGATTGTAGAAAAGTGTTTGGTAAATTAGCTGTTAGCTAATAGCTTTTTGGTATAATTTATTTTCTCAAAAAGCTAATTGAAAAAGTTACTTTGAGCAGCTTTTTGAATTTTAGCATTTTGGAGTTACAAAAATCCATCTTTTCCAAGGTTGATCTTTTCTTCATGTTATATTGGGAATATATTTAAAAGATAAAAGTTTCTTTGAATGTTGACTCATTGCTTTGTTTTCGAAACTTCGGTCATTCTTAAAAATGGTCATTTTCAGGCGAGGCGAGCTTTACGGGCTTTAAAGGGGTTGGTGAGACTGCAAGCACTTGTTAGGGGCCATGCCGTAAGAAAACAAGCTGCTATCACCCTTCAATGTATGCAAGCTCTAGTTAGAGTTCAGGCTCGTGTCCGAGCACGGCGTGTTCGTATGGCATTAGAAAGTCAAGCTGCACCACAGAAGCTTCAGCAACAGCCAGAACAAGCGGCCCATGTTCGGGAAATAGAAGTAAGCAATTTCTAATCCTGCCACATTGAATTTCTGTATCTAGATGTTGCCAATGCAACGGTGTTGATGTCCCCTGGCATTGATAAATATGATCAGAAATCTTTTTCTCTCAAAGATAGGCATATAGAAGCAATATGACCAATATGAGTTGGTTCTATAACATTTGAGATGGTCTCCAGAATTAGTGAAGTTCCATATTAGCCTTATATTGAGAGTTTCTAGCATGTATGATCTTCGTATTAGGAAACCTTAGTCCTATTCCTAGGAGTGAGCTTAGTTTCCTATTCCTAGTAGGATTGGTTTAGCCCTAATGTTCCTATAAATATAGGATCTTTATACAGTTTAATATGCATAGAAATATGGCAAAAACTTGTGTGAGACGGGTCGGGTCAAGATGAAAATGTAATACTTATACTGAAAAATGTAATACTAATCAGGAATAAAATGTTACTTATAAGGAAAAGTGTAATACTTTTACATTTTGATTTAAAAGTATTACACTTCCCCTTATAAGTAACAAACACTTTATTCTTGATTAGTATTGCATTTGTCAGTATAAGTATTACATTTCCATCTTGACCCGATCCGTCTCACGAATAAGGATCTGTGAGACAGTCTCACTGGAGAGTCACTCAAGAAATATAGATTACACAGAGATACAATCTATTGTAATCTTTCATTATAATATATTCTTTCTAATCTTTTTTTCTTTGGTTTCTCACATATTTTGCTTCTGCCTAACTGGCGGTCCCTCAATTTCAACATCTTCTATAAACTGGAACACATAGATGTTGGCATAGTTAACATAATTATAGCCAAAATTCAGCACTTCTCCACACCCCCCGCCCCTTTGGTTGAAATCTGGGGAAACAATTGTGGCATTGTTAGAATCAAACGGCCTGGGGAAACAAACATACCAGTGCAGGAATTGAACACCATCAGGAAATAAACATGGCATACCGGTAATCAATGCGGAAACAAACACAGTAATGCCAAAACTGAGCACCCTTGGTAAATAAACACAACATTACTGGAAATGAAGATACTATTCGAGGAGGATGGCAAGTGTGGCAAAGACTGGCAGTAAGCATCGTGTCACCTGGATGAAAGGATCCCAATGTTGTTAGCAGCCACATGAATCGTGATTGGACCAACAAAGAGGGAGACCTGAGCAAAAAATGAAGAATGGACCAATCTTCTCAGCTTGCCTTTAGGGCTGGTTTCTTACACCAAGGTTACAAACCAGACGGAAGGAGCATAAGATATGGTCACCAGAACAGTAACCCTGATAGCTAGAAATTTGGAATAGTGACTCCAGTGACTCTTAGGGGCAAGTAGAAAAAAAATATAAAATAAAAATCTAGAGTTTAGGCCTCTATTACCATGTTGAAGAATAAAGGTTTGAAGATATGGCGGATGGCCAGTAGCCACTAGCCACCACCTGCCTGGGGAGGCGAAAGCTAATATATAAAACAAGTGAAGAGAGAATATAGTAATGTTGTAAATATTATCTTGTTTACACATAAGAGTATGTGTATATGTAATTATAGAGGGGAAAAAAAAAGATTCTTAAGTTGAGACACTCTAAGTTGATATATACTTTAAAATTAGATTATACTTTGGAATTTAGATTGATATACTCTAGGAGTCTAGGTTGATGTACTCTAAGTTGGATGGTAACCATCCAACCTATAGGCTATCACATTTTACACATTCCAAATATTCAACATCTTGACCAAATATCATTGATGAGGGTGCCAATCCTTATAGGAGTTTCATTATAAAACTTCTCGTGCAAAAAAGATAGTTTCCCCTGGTGTTAGCTTGGTGAATAGTTTAAACATGCATTTGTTTCACCTTCTCTTGTCTTCAACTCCATTCACAGGAAGGTTGGTGTGACACTATTGGGTCTGTGGAAGAAATCCAAGCCAAGTTGTTGAAGAGACAAGAGGCAGCAGCTAAGCGAGAGAGGGCTATGGCATATGCTTTGGCTAATCAGGTTCACATTTCACCTTGTTCTCAGTAATGCTGCATTTATTTTCCTGATTATATTTTTGCAACATGCTAAAGAATGCTTCTTTTTTTTTCCATTTATAAGTACAAGGTCTGAAAATGTTAAGAGAAAAGAACATACGAGTAGGTGCATATGCTAGCTTTGCCTACATTATTTTGATTTCTCACCTTTCATAGCAATTGGTATATGATATTATAATTACTGATTACATAATTACACCTTCAACAAATGCAAAAAAACAGAAGGCTTTCCATAAAGAAGAAGAAGAGGGTACTAAATTGGCAGAAAATGTCAAAAGGGTAATAGATTATAGATAAAAAAAATGAGAAAGTTGAAGGATGATTAACTAATCATAATTTGGAGAGTTTTACTTGCATAGTTGCATATACCTGCCATAATTGAAGCTTTGGGTGATGAGATAGCGTACATGTATTTTCCTCTCTCTCAAGTGCCCATTAAAAGTTTCCACTCCCCACCCCCCTTTCCTTACCCCCTCATTTTGCAACATACATTATTAACAATAAGCTGGTCAAGAACCTTTGTTTATTGACTTCTCTGCCTTGTGTATGAAAGAAAAAGGGGCATACAGATAAGTAATACTCTAATTCTTTCAAGCCCCCAATGAGCCCATAGTTTGTCATCAGATTCTAATATTGATTAATGTCTTGAAAAATAATACTCCCTTTGTCTCATTTTATCTGTCATGTTTACTATTCATTGGTCAAACCAACTCTTTCTTCTTTGCTTATTTTCTTTAGTATTTTTTTAAATTTGATTTTTTGTGTTTAATAGTATTTTTAATGTAGTTTCTAAACATATAAATTTTATATACTAATGCTCAACTTAACATTATAAAAAAATTGAATTAAAAATAACTTCAGTCAAGTCTCGTTAACCGAACCAAACACAAAAAATGGGATGGAGGGAGTATGCTATAGTTTTCGTATTTTTTGTTGTTTCCATTTATCTCCATTGCTTTTACTATATTTGGCTTGAAAGCAGTCTCTACTTTGATACTGCAGTGGCAGGCAGGATCTAGGCAGCAAGCCACTTCAGCTGACTTTGAACCAGATACAAGTAACTGGGGGTGGAATTGGTTGGAAAGATGGATGGCTGTGCGTCCCTGGGAAAATCGCATTTTAGACATTAATCATAGAGATGGAGCAATGACATGTGATAATGGATCTGCAGATCCAAAGAATGGAACCAAGAACCAATTAAAATCTGTTGGGATGAAACCAATTTCTTCAAACATTTCAAATGAAAAAATGGGTCCGTCCCATTCAAGTACTAACAAATTGAGTGAAAAAGTAATTGCAAATAAGTCTGAAGGCCGCAAAACTTCCTCAATTAAGTCAGCAAGCACTCCTGAAGCGCTTACCATGTTTAACAAGCCAAAGTCTAAACAGAATGTGGAACATTTGGTTGAAGAAGCTGGCTCAAGACCAACCCTTGGTTCAAGATCGAAGAGCAATCCTAAAGAGAGATCTATCCCTTCAGATATACAAGGAAATAAGCGATTGTCTCTGCCAAATAGCCGTCAGTCTCTTTTTCACCCTTCTTGTTTTTTCATTCCCTTCAAATATTTTCATAGGGAAAATTGTAATTTATGCCCCTCCATAATATGCCAATTATCAATGTTACTCCTGAATTATTAGTGGTGTAAATGTTACCCCTCGATTTTCAAAACGGTACATATATTGCCCCTCCCGTACCATTGAGGGGCAATATATGCACCGTTTTGAAAATTGAGGGGTAACATTTACACCACTAATTATTCAGGAGTGACATTGATAATTGGCATATTATGGAGGGACATAAATTACAATTTTCCCTATGAAAATATTTATTGTGATGTTGGATTTAAGACATGTCATGCACCACCAAAAAGTTCCATGCCCCCTCATTCTTTTATTTCCCAGGATTCTATTTTAGGATTTTTTAAGTCCAGGCAACTATATAAATATCTTCCACACATATTACTCGCTGATTCTCTATTTCCAATCTGACTGAGCAATTGTGTGACCTCATTTAACCAGGAAAAAGTTCTGGAGCTCAAATAACAAGGCAATCCAGTCGAACTGCGCAGAAGCCCATGGAGGACAAATCCAAATTGAATGGAAATGATCCAATGGCTACAAAATTGGTTTCCCAAGATTAGTATTACGATCATTTTTAATGACTGGGTGGTCTTTAGTTTGTAAATACGGGAACCTAATTGTTGGGATATTCTGTGGCTACGCCTTAGTTCTATTTGTGTTGGAGTCTCACCATGGCAGGATTAAAACGAGGCATGCAAACTTCTGGAATAAAAGAAGGTGTTTGTTGTGATTCCCTAGTTCAATTTTGTTGAAGACTGAAGAGTTTGATCAGTGTGTAAGTATACAGTCTGGTGTTTGTTGTGAATCTTTGTATCAATCATTTGTTGATTAGATATATTACATTATTAGATGTGCTCAGTGTGTTGTGTTGTATCCTGTATTTCCTCATTGTAAAAAAGCTTAAGCTTCATCCTGTACAACTTCTTGAAGCCCACAGTTGAGAGTATTCATTCATTTATTTAAGCTGTGAGATACATTGGAAGCACAATGTTCTGTTGAAATCTTCATGAAAGATAGAAACCTTGTGCTAATAGTTTTATTTTTTTTCTGCAACATTTTGTTTTGGTAAAATTAAGCAGAAAAGTTGTCTTCGACTTCCGGCGAGAGTAGCGTATTGGTTTTCCTGATTTGAACCAGTAAGCTATAAATAATTTAGGTTGATTTATTTTCTTATAGTCTTTGCTAACGGGAAAATGGTCAAATAAGCCCCTAACTTCACTTAAAGAGTCAATTAGTCTCTTAAACGTTTAAAAAGTGCAATTACACCCTTTAACATATTGAGGCAATGAAAATCCAAAACCAGTAAACCGTCATCGGTCGCTGTCTAGGCGACCACAAATGGAAGACAACCAACGGGTGCCTTTCCCAGTAGAGTGACCAGTCGGTCGCCTTCCATGGAGAAGGCCAAATGTTTGCCTTCTCCATGGAAGGCAACTAATTGGTCGCTCAACTGGGGAAGGTGGTCGCCTTCTCTGGTAGATGTCGATCGCCGGCGGTTCGACTATCGCTAGCCACTGAATTGTCGCCAGAGATGGATAAAATTGATGTTCTCCATGGAAGGCAACTAATTGGTCGCTCAACTGGGGAAGGTGGTCGCCTTCTCTGGTAAATGCCGACCGCCGACGGTTCGACTATCACCAGCCACCGAATTGTCGCTAGAGATGGATAAAATTGATTTCGAAACCCGAATGACCTTTAATAGCAAAGTATTTATTGGTTTTTGCATTTCATTGCCTCAATATACCATGTAAAGTTTAAGGGTTTATTTGACCCTTTTCCCTTTGCTGATTAGGATCACAAAATGAGATTTACTGTGCAAATTTTCCTTGTCACTCAAAAAAGAAGATAAATTGTTCATTTTATATAGGACAAGATAATGGTAACTGTTAGAAAGTACATTATACAAATGGACAATGAGCTTCTCATCTAAACAATTAGGATTCAAACAAAGCAATGGTGTCCCTATATATTTTCCTGTCCCCCTAGAAATTAATGCTCTTCCTGTGAAACATCCTTTAACCCAAAGCAGAATCTACCTTTCATGAAACAAGAGCTTCAAGCTCTGTGATCAACTCATGAGGTCACATTACTGAAGCCGAAGTAGAGTGTTCTCTGTTCAAATGCGTTGACAGCAGAGTCCACGTGAAAATGGCCTAACCGAGACTTGAAGCGAAAGCCATACCCAACACTAACTCCAGTTCCCGGTTTTCCATGTCTGAGAGTAGGATTCCCTAAACATAACAATGAAAATCAGCTTGGATTCTTGAGAATACAAGAAAGATTCTCGGTTGTGAGTTTCTCTTTTTGTGGTTTACAGGTACAGAAGGGAAGACTATTTTCAAAATGATCAGATTCCTCATAGTTGTTTCCCTTTCCTTTCCTTTCGTGAAATTCCATCTCAGCATATTTATGTTGATAAATTATGGATTTGAAACAAAACTTGGTATATGCTTAGGCAATAATTTCTTCCAATTGTGTTCGTTTTGTAGTGCATTGATTTTTACTTAATCTAGAACTACTATTAACATTTCACATGAAGTAATGGCACTAACCTGGCACATGACGACCAGAGCCCAAATCAGATCCAAAATCCAAGAACGCCACACCATCAATCATCGGGTTCTGCAAATAAGAAATACTGTTGTTATATAAAGATTATCCCCCATGACCCTCACCGCCAAATGGTTTAGGTTGAGGTTTCCTAGATGCAGGATTAGGAAGGCAATCCCAGCCCGCTCTAATGTGCCAAAGTAATCTTGAAAAAAGTCTGAAAGAACACGTACAAAAGGAAATGTCAATTCACTCTTAGCAACCAGGCATGATCTACCAGATGCAATTGCTCCTTCCCCATACCCTCGCACACTATTAAGCCCTCCAATTGCAAAAGCTTGATAAGGAGCTATGTCCCCCACAATAGAGCCACCTGTAAGTCTGTCAGATGACAAGTGTGGGCATGAAATGCAAAGAGGCATTAGAAAATATATTCAAGAAATCAAGAATTGCCTGGTCATGAACTTTTGAGAGAGATTATATACTGTTACAATGCAGTATCCGTTCATAACTACTTTCTCAACCTACTGAAGTACAAAGAGTCAATACCGCCCCCACTGAAGCTCGAACCCATGACCTCCCATATGGAAAGCCGCTTCATGCCACTAGACTACAAGGTCATTGGCACAGTTGTTGCCAACCAAGAAAAGTCAACCAAATAACTTCAAGATATCCTAAGGTAACAAATCACATACTTTCTAGCTTTGGCATTTCAAAGGAAACAAGGTTGCCATCAAAACTATTTTGAATTTAGTCCATGGCATTTTTTCTCCATTAATTCAAACGCTTCTATTACCTGCTTAAGCTACTCTTCTCCTCATACACATCACCAAACCATTCTTAGTTCAAGGCTCTGCTTATGTTATGCTTCGACACATGTTTGACATTAGATATATAGCAGTTTTCACATTATTCTTCCCAATTATGAACTGAATTACAAACTCAACAGACTAGAAATCTATCATAGTTACATAATATTCTTTCATGGCATATAACTGTGAGATTGCCAAATGAATATTTAGAACTCTAGATGCTGGTATGGTTAGTACATGGTGGTACTAGTTGTGCTTGGACTCCTTTTGGTGCACAACCAGTAGTTAATCCCTTAGTCATTGGGTGATGAAAATTATCGACCCACCTTGTCAAGAGAAATGCGGGCCCAAGTTTTACTCCCTTTGATGCGACAAACTTGAAACGATTGAATATCAGCCACTTAGAAAGAATAGGAACCCCTTGCTCTATTTGCAGAGTGAACTGGAAAAACAAAAGCGGGTGCTTCAGAAAATTTATATAGTATGATATATTTACTAAACCTAAAATTTTCAACAACATTGAGATGATTCATCTTAGCGTAGCGAATATAAAAGCAGATTACTTCAGTTAAACTTTGATCATTTGCCCTTGCAAATCGAGATTCTTGTTTCAGTACTACCATACTATCATGATATCCACCACTGCAAACAATGATTGAGACACAACATCCAAAGTCAGGAGGCTAAATCAAAGAGGCTGAGAACCACCTAAATCTTCAGCTACCTGCAAGTCACTGGAAACCCATGAAGGTCTCTGCTTATTGGCCGACCATCATCGCTTACTGGACGAACATGCTGTAATACGTTAAGTTTTCTTATTGAGTAATGAGCATTTGAGTCATTCATGCATGAACTTAAACCATGCATAAGTAGTCATAGTTTCTAATTAATGACAACAGTGATACACTCACCTCAAACCTGACACTGGTTTTGCTACTCCAGTTGGAACTTGCAGGCTCACTCAAATCTAAACCAGCAGAGAAGCGAGATAAGTTCACTCCACCGCTTTCTGAGCGAGAGAAGTTGTCAACAGGAATTCCATGGATGCCAATCTCTGGAGAGACTGAATGCTGGGCAACCAATTAAATTCATATTAGATTCCATAAGATACAACAACAGCCTTGCGCTTCAACCCCACTTTAATTTAATTGAAATATGTATGGGAGACAGAGCACTTCAAACCTTGGCCAAAGTGCTTAAAGATACTCAAGGGATGCAAGATAAAGAATACAAAAAAAAAAAAAGGAAATAACAGACATTAAATTTTCTCTTAGATATAAAGCTCGGAGGCAATATCACTAAAGAGCAATTAGACAGGTAGAATTACTGTCATAATCTTGCCACTGCAGTACTGCACACTGTTCATGCAATTGTTTCAAAAACATCAATTTGTGCAGTCTACTCTTTCTGAGTTCTGACCCATTATTGAATTTGATATTTCAGGGATTTTTGGATGAGAATTGGGAATGAATGATAAGGCTGAATTTGCTATGTTTCTGGGAATGAAAAGGGAGCTCCAATTCCATATCAATTATTAAAACTAAATAATCTCTACCGTCTTTATTTTCCAGAAAGCAGATAGCAGCAAGCTGCAAACCTGAACTATAAGAGACTGTTGAGAAAGCCATTCTGGCCTAGGCTTTCTGTAAGCTATCAAGACATTTGAATCATAGAGACCTTTATCCCACAGAACATCAAGCTTCTCACTCTTGCCAAATAAATTTGGGTGTTTTATGCAAAGGCTGCACAAAAAGAATTTGTTAAACAACAGATTATACCAAACCATTTGAAAGCTAAAAGATAATTCAACCAAAAAACTAAAACTTTACAGCATTGATTGATACCTTCCTATAACTAGTTCAAATGGACTCCCAGAATTCCTGTTGCACAGATGAAGAACAGCATAGCAAAGAAAGCTCAGAGCGAATGATCAAACGAAACCCAGAAATGGAATTCGAACTCTACGCACCTCAAAGGTTGGAACATTAAACCGGCGCATAGTTTGTGTGTGAAATCCACATTCACATCAATCTTGGCTGTGCCCACAAATTCAAAATGCAACAGAAAGGTAAAAATCAATTGCCCATTAGTGGAAATACTCAAACGGAGACTAATAGATTAGCACGGTAGTGAGAAAAAGGACGCACCTTTGCCTGCGTGAATGCTCTTCTGAGCTCCCATAACATTACCGACTGTTTCACCATTCAACAACTCAATCCAATTCCGGCGGGTTGGCTAATCTTGAAGCGTTGGGTGAATGAGTAACATTAAAAATTACAATAAAATAAAATTTTAAAAAAATCTGGGAATAGAATCGCGAGTACTTGAAGTTATCTCTTTCTTGAACCGATTGGCTTTCTGGTTTCCCAGCTACCTTCGTCTTTGCCTAGCGCTGGGCCGTTACTAACCAGTTATGGGCTGTTTGGTTAAGAGGCACTAAACGACATTTGGTTCTCTCAAAATTGTGGTCTAAAATTTCATTTGCAGTCTTTTTTTTTTCCTCTGTTTTTTTTTTTTTGAAAGCCTGCAATTTCATTTGCAGTCTTTTCATTTTTGTTCAGGATCAAGAATGATTATATTAATGAATCAAAGTTGCAATACAGTCGGGGAATATAATCTCAGTACATAGCTTAATCCTGAACAAAAGCTAACGAAGCTAAAGTATGCACATGCGAATTAATCGGCCTAAAAATATAATTTAACGAGACATAATTAGACGAAGAAATTAAACTCCTACATTGGTCCACTATGACCCCAACATAGGACATTATATTGGTTGATTCATGTCGTATAGCATTCCTCAGTTGTATACAGTCTGTGAGAAGGGTGACCGTTGTTGTATTTTTCTCCAGTAGCCAGGATAGAGCCTCCTTACATGCCAAAGCCTCCGCCATAAACGGCGACAAACAACTTGGGAGTCTTCTTTTTTTGCAGCCAAAAAGGACCCTTCGAGAGACAACAACACTATGCTGTATGTAGCCTCCCCTGTGCCTTCTCGGTAGCCAGCGTCTACAAAACATCGCGGCATGGCGTCTTCCTCGCCCTCCACCATAGCAGTTGAGGTCGCAGCTGGGCAGCGGCGTGTGATCTGCCGGAACGACTGCAACACCGCTGTGGCCTGTCTCCATGCAGCCGTAGGGTGAGGGAGTGCGGCATCCCATACGGCCGAGTTCCTGCATCTCCATAGACGGTAAAGCAGCGCCACTACGGCTCCACTTTGATCCTTTGTTAACATTGTAAGCACAGCTGTTAGCCACTCGGGGAAAGAATTGACAACAATATTTGTTACAGGCAGTCCTGAAATATTCCAAACATATCTAGAATAATCACAAGTATCCAATGCATGCATCACATCTTCATGAGCCACCCCACACATTTGGCATGTGGGATCCACTTCTACCCTCTTTATAATCAATTATTAGTTGTAGGAAGAACATCACAAATTGCTCTCCACAGAAAAGTCTTCCATTTTGGAGGTACCTTCATCCCCACATCGTAGTCCATTTCTCAAGCTCCCCTGGCGAGTGGTTATAAATCCCCATAATGTTCTTGTAGGCATTCTTAACTGTATAAACACCATTAGGGTCATCAGGCCAATACCATGAGTCCTCATACCCCGGACTTACAGGAATCCTTAGTATCCTATCCACATCTTCCTCATTAAATAAATCTGTTAGAATATGTGGATCCCAGGTAGTAGTCTGCTCATCTATCAATCCTGCTACCTTGGCATGCCTGAGCTCTACTGGCATGTTTGTTTGTATAAGGGGGCTAGGATTATCAGATAACCATGGGTGTCCCCAGATTAATGTCGTTTTACCATCTCCAATTCTCCTTCGAACTCGTGCCACTACCATACCATGGGCTGCCATAATACTCCTCCAAGAATAGCTTGGGCATCCCCCTATTTTAGCATCAATAAAAGAGGTACTCGGATAGTACCGAGCCTTATAGACCCTTGCAACAAGGGAATCGGGACTTGTGAGTAGCCGCCATGCTTGCTTTCCTAACATAGCCACATTGAAACTCCTGAGATCCTTAAACCCCATTCCCCCAAATTTCTTTGGGATACTCAGCTTATCCCAAGCTTTCCAGTGTATTCTCCTATCCATACCAGTACCCCACCAATACTTGTTCATTGTTCTTTGAATTGAAAAACACACTGTGTCTAGGATCAAGAAAACACTCATTAAAAAGGTAGGCATGGATTGTGCCACACTTTTCAATAAAATTTCATTACCTGCCTATGACAGAAGTTTCTTATTCCATGAGCCAATCCTCTGCTTTATTTTATCCTCAATATATGAGAACACTGCTCTTTTATTCCTTCCTACAAAAGATGGTAGACCCAGATATTTCCCAAAATTGGGTGCCTGGTCTACCTGTAAACATGTGGCCACCACTTCTCTGTCTTCCACACTGGTATTCCTACTAAAACAGATACTGGACTTGTGATAATTCACCTTTTGCCCTGACAACTCCTCATATCGTCCCAGACACTGCTTAATTACTTCTTCCTCCTGATCATTTGCTTTAAAGAACAACAGGCTATCATCCGCAAAAAATAAGTGTGATATTTGTGGGGCTCCCCTTGCCACTCTGCAGCCATGTATAGAGCCAGCCATCTGAGCTCTCTGTAATAGCATAGACAGTCCCTCAGCACAAATGATAAACAAATACGGAGACAAAGGATCTCCCTGCCTCAGCCCCCTGGTTGGCGTTATTCCTCCACTAGCAACACCGTTAATCAGGATGTTATACTGAATAATAGTGACACACTGCATCAATAAATTAATCCACCGATCATCAAAACCCATTACCTCCAACATCCTTCTAAAAAATTGTCATTCCATCCTATCATATGCCTTTGCCATATCTAATTTCAAAGCTGCCCAGCCTTTCTGTCCACACTGCTTCCTATTCAAATAGTGCCCCACCTCCACAGCTATAAGAATATTATCAGTAATAAGCCTCCCAGGAATAAAAGCACTCTGGGCCTCTGAGATGAGGTCCCCCATAAGTGGTTTCATCCTATTGGCTATTACCTTTGCCATAATCCTGTACAACACATTACTCAGTGTTATTGATCTCATGTCGGCTAGGAAGCAATTTACAATAAATTCAGACACATCCCCACCAATAATGTCCCAAAACTCTTGGTAAATCCCAGGATTCATACCATCCGGTCCTGGCGCTTTGTCAGGAAACATTGCAAACAAAGCACACTTGACCTCCTCAATCTCAAAAGGGCGAAGTAAAACACTATTTTGTTCATTAGTCACACGGGGAGTAAAATCATCAAACATGGGATCCTCACACTCATAATTTGAAGATGTAAAAATAGCTGCATAATAATTCAAGACAACCTTCTTCATATTTTCCCCATCTACCCAGATACCCACATCATTTTTCAATCTAGGAATATAGTTTTTCCTTCTACGGGCAGAAGCATACCTATGATAAAATTTTGTATTGCAATCCGCACCACGGAGTCAGTGCTGCTTAGCCCGTTGCCTCCAAAACACATCCTCCTGCACCTCCAACTGGCCCAGCCTTTCCTCGAGATGGCGAAATTCAGCCAATGCAGCCGAATCCCGCCTATGACGCAGCGCATCCTGCTCCCTCCTCAACTGCTTTATGCGGTCACCAGATTTATGCCAGTGTTCCCACCCCATCGCATGAGACTCCCTCCACAATGTTGCTGACAAATCAATAACCCCCTATCCCTTCCATCCTGCCAGGCAGCCTCCACCACATTCCTACAACCCTCATCATGAACCCACGCCATCTCAAAGCGAAACCGTCTCGGTCCCCCTGCCTGCGCACCACTGCAATGTCGGTGTTTAGAAAGAGAGCCGAGTGGTCAGATTTCCGAGTGAGAATATTTTCAACCCATGCCTCACCATGCAAATCAGTCCATTGTGTTGTCACCAACACCTTATCCAACCTCTCCTCCAACTAGGGGTGTGCATCGGGCGGTTCGGTTCGGTTCGGGGTGGGGGTTGGCTAAACCGCTCGAATTTCGGTTTGGTGAATGTAAAACCGGTCCTAACATTTTATATATTAAATCTTTCGGTTTCTTTAGCATTCGGTTTCGGTCGGGTTGGTCGGATATCCGACTCGTGTTCGGGTGAACCAAAATTGAAATAAGAATAATAAAACTTTAAAATTAAATCAAGTAAATTCAAGACAAAATGCCTTAATGCCAATATGCCATACAAAAAAACCTTAAAACCCCAAAAATGAATGATTTACAGTTTACAGTTTAGTAGTTTACACTTCACAAAAAACCAGAATTATAGATTTACAAATCCACATAGTGATTTGCATTTTGCACGATTCAATAAACCATTCCACATTTCCAGCATGCAGATTCATGATCACAAAAAGCCATGTTGATTCCTGATCACAAAAAGCTATCCTGATTCCTGAATCTTGATCCTACTCTAAATCTGTAAATCTGTAATACTCCTAGTGTTCTAGACTGCTATTCTTCTTCCTGTTAAAACTTAGTGCAATTTAGTAAAGGAAACAAACAACTAAACAAGTAAAAAACAATAAGTCAATAATAATTACTTAGCAAATGAGAAAATGAGATTATAATATTGGCTCAGTAAGCATATTTGTCCATATCAATGTATGGATTAAGGGCAAATTGCTTCAAATCTTCAATATCACCATGATTCCATGAGCAATTGAACATTGAGCAACATACCAGCTTAATCCTTATTTCAGATCATTGGTGGAAGCTTTCATCATTGCCAATTTGTCATAATATATCAAAAACTCAGAAGATAACATTACCAGAATTACAGATTTACAGTAATGCAAAACTCCAAAAGGCAGCAACTTTACTTACTCTTACAAGTTAGTAAGCTACCAAGCCTTTAGAGGATTTAAGAGCAGTGGTTAGGGGCCAAAAACTCATCAAGGAAGCAACTTAAAGTCACCAAGTTTCATTGCCTTAACATCAGAATATTAAGTTAGTTGAATAGTTGAATACAAGATTAAGATATTAATATATCATATAAAGTATAGAGATTGGAGAAGACCATTACAGGAATACTTGGAAGTGTAGAACCACAAGTCCTCCCACCAGATGCACTTCCACCATCAACACTAAATTTGCAATTATATCAAATAAGAAGAAGCTTGTTAGAATTCAATTCAATGAAAAAAACTTAAATTGAATGATTGAAATAATACATTATTTTACCTTTCTCAAATCTTTCTAATTCTTCTAGATTTTCTTCAATTGAAATGGGGGTATTTGGCAGCCTAAGCCAATCCTGAGTACATACCAAGGCTTCCACAATTTTAGGAGTTAAAGAACTCCTAAAATGATCTAAAACCCTCCCAGATGTACTAAAGGCAGATTCTGAGGCAACAGTTGAGATAGGAATAACTAAGATATCCCTAGCAATCTTAGAAAGGATAGGAAACCTTGCAGAATTGACCTTCCACCATCTCAGTATATCAAATGAACCTTCATCTTCAGTTATTGCCTCACTCAAATAATATTCCAACTCAGTTTTTTTCCTCCCACCAGTTTCCATTCTTTGTTTCTTAATTTGGGCCTTCAATAGATGTTGTGGCCTCCCAACAGGGGCAGAAACAGACTCAACAACAGGAGTAACAGATGCTACAGAACCAGAATCAGTAGTTGGGACAACAGTAGGGCTATAACTCACAGCATAATCATCATACAATTCATTCAAAGCAGCCAACAATTTCTCAAGGTAATCTTTTCCTTTTTTGTCACCATACATATGAAGTAATTGAGTTGGAATATATTCTAACTTGTCCCTGGGGTCTAAAATGTTTGCAAAGAAAATCATATAATTCATTTTGTCAATATCACCCCAATATTTTTCAAATTTTGCTTTCATGTTAGCCCCCATTAGTTTCACAGCCCCATCAGCTTCCACCATTTCATTCAAGATACAATACAGATCAGATATTTCAGAGAAAAAGGTGTTAGCTGTCACATATAGGGACCCTGAAATTCTGATAGTCATCTCATAGAAACATTTCAACAGCTTAACCAAGTTGTTCACAGACTCCCAATCCAGAGAAGTAGGAATAGAATCACCCAGATCAGATTTAAAAGAGTTATCACTGTATTCATAGTCATCAAATACTTTCTGGTAGATCAAAGCAGACTGTAACATCAAATATGTGGAATTCCACCTTGTTGGCACATCAAGACACAAGGATGTTTTTTGCTCAATTCCATTATACTCTGCCAAATCCCTAAATTTCTTCAACCTTGAAGGAGAATTTCTGACATATCTAACAACCTCCCTAACCCTCTTAACAGCAATATCACATTGTTTTAGACCATCTTGTACCACCAAGTTCAGAATATGAGCAATA